TTCCCTTGTCGCCCAGCCACCCAGTTCCATCTCCTGGACAAGAGCAGAGTCACCGGTCTCTTTTGTCCTCTTCCTGGAACAGTCTGTGCATTTATGCACACATTCATAAATGTGAATATGTATTACTTTTTCAGAAAATGAAGTGCTCTGTACTCTATCTGCTGTTTTGTCCTTTGCAAACCCCTTAACATCATATCTTAGAGAAATTTTCCATCCTTACATGTGGAGATGCCTCATAAAAAAAAAAAAAAAAAAAAAAAAAAAGATCATGGCAGTTGCAGGTTTCCATAGCATGGAAGGACCATGATTTATTTAATCAATGCTTTATTTATGGGCACATCACCTAAAGGCACTTATCCCAAACCTTTTCACACCTAATTTTGATTTCTGCTCTGCAACTTACCTAGTAATGAGTTTGTCATATTGAATCTTTCCTTACACAACCAACCCCAGAAGGAAGAGTCCACTTAAAACAATGTTTTTAACTGTTTTTGTTGCTGTTAATAAAAACTCCAAACATTTCTACAGTTGCTGTTCTTTTCCAATGTCTGATCTGAGGACTTAGCAAGAATGGAGTCAGTCCTATTTGCTGGTGGATGAGGCCAAGTGACTGTAGAAATAGAACCTAATTTCGGCTCTGTCCCCCCTGACCTACTCTATGACCCTGAACTTTTCTTTCCCATCTCTGATCCTTGGTTTCCTCAACTGTAAAACAAGGAGACAGGGCTAGATCAAGGGTCAGAAAACTTTTCTATAAGGGCCACACAGTATATTAACTTGGCAGGTGATATAGTCATTGTCATGATTACCCAACTCTACTGTGTGGCTTAAGAACAGCCACAGACAGTGTGTAAGTGAATGGGCGTGGGATAGGGTGCTGGTAGGGAAATAATGTCTGTTGAACATCTTTATGGCAGTTGCTTTTTGAAAATGGGTGAGATTTGGCCTGTGGGTCATAGTTGCTGACCCAGGGCTAAGGGCATTTCCATTTCTTAGTTTCTATCTATGGATCTGTGAAGAACTTTCCTCTTCTACTTAGGGGAAGGAAAGGGACAAACACCCATCCTAGTGTCCACATTGCTAGGCACTCACTGGGAGCCTTCTGGAGATCACTTGGAATCCTCCTAGCACTTCCATTGGGTAGGTAATGTGGGAAAACTGAAACTCAGAGTGGTTGTATACTTGGCTCACTCTCCTCCTTTGGAGCCCCTTTGAGCCCCCTCTTCTCCAGCCTCAACTCTTTTTCAGGTTAGATTAGAAAAGATTCTTAGCAATGCCAACCTCCTGTGGCTGTTCCAAGGATGGACAGAGGAGGTGCCTTAGAGGAGTTCTGGTAGAGGGTGCAGCCAAGTAAAGAGAGGGATCAGAAGAACACTTTGAATGCTGGCAACAGAGGAAGGCAGGGTGGCTGGAGGCCAGTGATGGGCTGGGGAGAGGAGAAAGAGGGTACTGGATGAGGCCACAGAGGTAGGCCCATGGCACAATCCAGTGAAAGTTCTCAAATGATCATTTTGGCTCTTGTGTGGAGAATCAAGCCCTGGCTTGTCTTTACAGAATTTCTTGTTTTACATGAGGGTGATCCATTCATTCATCTGTAAAAGGGGTGGATGGAAAGTGCTTTCCATGATCACAAAGCTTCATTGTGAGTGGAGAGGGAGGCAACCTGGAAACCATGAGGACCTAGATTTGCCAACTCAGAGACCTAGCTTGGTCCCCTCCCAGCTTTGTGACCTTGGGTGCTCACACAGACTTTCCCACTTCAAGTTCCTCATCTGCCAAATGTGACTGCTCACCGCCTCACTGCATTTCTGGGTTGCTGTGAATGTTCAATGGGATCATCTTTGTGAGAGCTCTCTGCAAATGTGAAGTGGGAGTTAATATCATGTTATTATTGTTGTTGTTATCATTGGCTTATCCTCTGCTGGCTGTGAATGTATTGGAAGGACTGGGTGACCCTCCTCTCTTACTCCTCCTTGTGTTAGAGTTGATTGCCTAGGGCCTGGGGCATTATAAATCCTTTGAAGACCAGATAGTGCCCCCCCCCTTTTTTTTTTTCAATGACCTGGGAGCTGTCTCTTTGAAATGTGAGGGGCAGCCTGACATAGTGGAGGGGATCTTGGAGCTGCGGTCAGATGGTCTGGTTTGTAGCCGTAGGTTGTACAATCTTGTTATCTCCAATGGCCTGTGTTGTCTGATGTGCTTTTATCTTTAATGGAGTCTGTGGCCTGGGCCTCAGGAATAGTATTTTAGCCACCACTGGCTTCCTTCCCCTCTCCAGAAGCCCTTTCATGAACTACTTCCTCCAAGGCTGGGCTAGGAGAACATCTGGAATTCCAGAGCACATACCCTATTTCCTTGTCACACATCAGGCTCAGAGCTCCTTAAGGCCAAGATCAAGTTTTCTTGGTGTTTGGTGCTTGGCATAGAGTGACAATCACATCGCTGTAACTGCGTGAGTATAGTTCTCCCCGTTGTCAAAGTACAAACTGTTCCTACACATGCCTTTCTTATTAGTGCTGTCAAAGTATGGATATTAGTATCCTCTTTTGGTGGAAAAGGAAACAGGCTGGGAGTCACATGCCTATTTCACACGGCCAGAGGTGGCTGAGCTGGCAATCAAACTCAGGTTTCTAAGAGCCACGACATTTCACTGCTACGTCCACGCCCACACAAGTTCGCTCAGTGACCTGGTTTTCCCTTCTTGAATCCCATCTATTTTTTTAAAGGCAAATGTTCTTTTATCTATGTTAAACTGAATATCAATTATTGTTTCCTGGGCAACCACTTTTTGCTTAAATTACAAGTTAATTTCATGTTAATAAAACACAGACGGATCCCATCTTCTTTAGTCTCCTCTGAGCTTGTTACGTTTGTTAGCCACTCTGGATCCACCCTTCTTGGCCCTCCCTGTGCCCTTGGAGGCTGACCTCAGGGCACACTTGCCAGCTAGGAGCAGAGTGGCCCGAGTTTCTCTCCCTCGTCCTCTTCCCTCCCTGCTGTTGGCAGACTTCTGGCTCCCCTTTATCCATACTGCAGGCAGGCTCCTCCTTCACGTTGTGTTCCCCTAAATCTCCTTCCTCCTTTTGCCCCTTCAGACCAAGGTTTGGGGACCTGCCTCCCTCTGTTGCTAATCCCCAGGATGCCTCCAGTCCTGGAGGTTTCTTTAATCCATCTGCATCTCAGCATGTAGACCCTTCTGTGAACCCATTTTCAGTTCTTTAAACATTCTTCTTTAAACTCTCTTCTTTGAGTGGGCCAGCTGTTTCTTATCAGGACCCCAGTTGCTGTGTGTGCACAGCCTCATCCCCATTTCCCTTCATCTTTCTTCTGACACCAAGAGTTACATCTCCTGGCCAAACCACAGCTCCAAATGTCTTCGCATGGCCAGTCTCCAAGGAGATTGGTTTAACTATAATGGAAAGTAGTTTTAGCCTTTTCATCTCTTACATACCTACAATAGGGCAGACACTCAGCATCTTCCCTCATAGGCTTCCTGTCTAGCCACAGCTCCCATCTCAAACTTTCTTCCTGACGAGGCAAGCCATTGGCCCTCTCTGGATCGTGGCATTCCACCCGATGGCCTTCTAGATCAACAGAGGTGTTTTCTGGCTTCTGCCAACATAGGGGACCTCAGACATTGTTTTGGCAGAGGGAGGGTTTCCCTTCAGAAGGCAGGAGAGCGTAGGCTACTGGAGTCACCCAATGCCTCCAAAACAACAGTCTCTTTCTGGATAAAGATGGAAAGCGTCCCAGAGTGTCAAGTGGACGCTGTAGTTTGGCTTCCCAGGAAATGGCACCATGGTGATCTTGGGGTCACAGCTTGACCTCTCACGCCCTGCAGTGCTCCTCTAACATGAACAGCATTTCCGGTTGGCTTGCCTATGTCTACATTTTCTGAATGATGGCACGTGGCCTTGGATGCTGCTGCCTGAATCAGGCACAGTCTGTTTGCTGACCCTGGTGCGTGGTGAAAGTTATACCATGGCCATGGCTTGCTTTCTGTGTCTCTGCTTTGCAGTTGGCCAGCATTGCTTGGAAACCAATTAAACCAATGGAAAAGCCTATGGAATGTAACACTTGAGACTGAAATTAAACCAGTCACCCACAGATTATGCAAGAGCATTTTTAAATAGGGGCATTACTTGAAAGGCACATTCTTCAGGCTTTAAGGTTTTTGATGTTTCTAGGTCAGTACTATAAGTTTCTGCCTTGACACCTGTATCCTCTCATTGTTCTCCGTAAACCCTATATATATTTTTTAGTAAGGTCCCCCCAAACCCTTTGCCTCCCCCAGCAAGACTGAATGATAGACAGTTTGGCAAGCAGTTCTTTCTGGAACATTGAAAAAGAATTGTACTGAAGCCAAGCAAGGGGGTTGGTTATATAAATTATAGCACATGCATATATAGTAATATAATACAACCATCTATATCCTCATGCTGCTGTGAATTTATTAACAATAAATTTAATTATAACATATTAAGATACTCAAAACAATCCCATATTATTAAAAGATATGAAATTATGTATCCCCAAATGTTAACACTTTAGAGTGGTTACCTCTATGAGGTTATGGGTAAGGATAATTATCTTCTTTGCCTAATCTGTACTTTCTAACTTTTTTTAATAACCATGTGTTAAGTTATGCAGTTTAAAGGGTATGTTGTATTCTTTTCAAAGAAAAGGAACATTGCCTACTTATCAGTGCACTGTGGTTATAATTATCTAGAAATATGAGGCTTGAGTTTGTTCCCACACAAACATAAAAGGGGACAATTCATTCCCTGGAAATAATTAAGAACAAACACCCCTCCACCCCTCCCTCACATTCTGCATTTCCTTTGTATGTTGAGGCAAGGGAGGGAAGGAGGGTGATGGATCAGGGAGCCCTGCCCAGGGCTTCCTCAGCTTGCAGATGTATCCACACTGCCCAGGGCTGTACAGGCTAAACTGCCTTCAGGGGTCTGCTGATCCCCAGGGAAGCTCCAGGTCTTGCTTACCTGGAACACACAGGCCTCTCCTTGGGTTCTGAGCTGGCCAACAAGCAGGTAGGCGGTGAGTCCTGCCAGGATGGGGAGTGACACCAGGCAACAGGTGAGAGCCCAGCCGGAGCTGCTGGCCCTGGCTGCCAGCCTAGCTCTGGCCTTGGGCCTGCAGCTGTCATCCTCGGGCAGCATTTCCACGCTGGCTGTCTCCCCAAAGCCCAGCCCCAGGTCCTCTGCCATGCTGTGGCTGGTCCCGGAGACAGAACTGATTCCTCTTGCGCAGGGAGACCCCCCCATTAAATAGAAGACCAGCTCTCACAGTGTGTGAATCAATCACTGCCTACTCCTCCCCCTGGCCTCTCCTCTCCCCTCCACAGCACACTGCGCCCCGCCCTGTTAGGGAATGCACCGCCTACAACAGAAACCAAAGTTTGGTTTAAGGAAAAAAAAAAAAAAGAAGAAGAAAGCTTCCCAAACATATTTATATACAGTGTGCTCATGTGCTCCTTCTCTCGCTAACAGAAGGAAGTCAGGAAAGTCCCTGGAGGAGGAGAAAAATAATTCATCAAGTCAGTGGGTGGGGCACATTACAATATACCTGTTTCTGTGGTGGAGGCCTGCCAGCTGTGCTAGTCTGAAGCGTGCTTCTGCTGGAAGTGAAAGTGAGGGATGTGGAGGTGTGGCCATGGCTTGCAGACTGGGAAATGGAAATCAGGTTTGCATCACCACTGCGCAAAGTGCTGCCAAGCCCTCCATCTGTTTTGAGCTTCATAGGAGCCCATTCCCATTTCGCAGATGAAAATACCGCAGTTCTGGAAGGTAAAGGCACGTGTCCTAGGTTATCCCGGGATTCAGGCAGAGGAGCGAGGAAGATGATCTAGTTCTTCTAAATCATGCTTTGGGGTTCTTGCCTCTAGCACACAACTCCCTGGGAAAGGAAAGTGTATTTCTAGTCTGTGTTGTCCAATTGTCTAAGCAAACAGTATGAGGTCACATTATTGATTGTCTGTGAGGAGAGGATATTGACTTCTACTCTCTGATTAGTCCTCAGCTGATTGAGCACCAGTGATAGACCTTGCCCAGAGTTGGGTGTATATGGGGGCCATAACATATAATAAAGGTGAACATTTATTAAACCTTTGCTTTGTACTAGTGACTCTCTGAAGTGAGTTGAATGTATCAGTGAAATGATTCAATCCTAAGATAACTTTTTGATGCAATAATGTTATTATTCCCATTTTGACAGTTAAGGAAATTGAAGTGTAGAGAGTAAGCAGTAAAGCTTGGATTGGGATCCAGGCAGGCTGACTCCACAGCTCCTAAACATTACACTACACTGCACTTGCTGCTGTATTGTGCATGCACAGGGACACCTGCACCTTTCTACCTAGTAGGGGTCACCCCTTCCATCTGCAGGAGGGGAAAGCTTCCTGGAGAAAGAGGTGGTGCTGGAATTAGACCTTGAAGCTTAGGGAGGTGGATATTGGAGAAGAGTAGGGGTTCTCTGCAAAAAAAAAAAAAAAATGCAGAAAGAGGAAAGCTTAAGGATATCCTTTGGCATTTGGTGGAAACCAGTTAGGCTAGCACCTCCATTCAATTGCTTCTTCTCTTTATCTCACAGCCTAACTCCTTTAGGCTATTTGGAATGGCCTTTTATGACCTGGTCCCTGCCCACCATCACCCCTTCCTGATGTCCAGCATCATCTCTTACTACTTTCCCAAGCTGCCATTCCCTGCAGTGCACTATGGGCCAGCTGCTCCATTGCACATGCTGTTTCCTCCACTGTGAAAGCTTCCAGTCCTTTCTCTTCATATCATCACATGTCCCTATTTTTCAACTTCATGTAAAAAACTTTCCTGCTTCTTCTGGCCTCCAAGCTTGGGTGAGATGCTCATTTATGTTCTTACCCTATTATTGAATATTTTGTACTAGACTGTGGTTGACTATTTTTTCATGGCCCCTATGAAACCATCAGATCTAAAAGGGCAAGTACTTGATTATATCCCTTCCCTGTGGCTGTAGCACCTAACATAGCAACTGCCACATAATGGACTCTTATCCAACATCTATGGAAATAAGCATCTAACATATTTTCAAAGAATCCCAGTAAATAATGATTCTTATGTCCCTTGGTTATCCATTATTGGTTAACAAGTAGAGTAAGAAACTTTTCCCTGAGATGAAACTAAATTTTTGCTGTTGAACTTTTAAGTACACAATCACATGTAATAACTGATCATCTTGAAGAGATTTACAAATGTGTTCTTAGCCTTATAGTTCTTAATTTAGAAAGTTGATGTGGTTGACCAAACCAGGGTCTTAAAAGTAGTAAATGTGTGCGCTCAAATGAAGTGTTTTGTATTATCATCCATAATATAAAAAGGTCTTGAAAGGTGGTAAATGCTAAAACACCAAATTGGGCATCTGGAGAGCTGGGTTTTAGTTCCTCTATTCTGTGAGCCTGAGAATTCTAGCAGGCTGTCCCTGCCTTAACATATCTGGCTACTGCTAATCATGATAACTAAGCTTGATATAATTCTGTTTAAAGTCAGTGTCGCTGGATTTTGAATTTGTGCCTGGGAATATCCTTTGGGAAGAGAATAAGTTTTAGGTCATGGACCTAGAGACATAGCTTTGAGATAATTGTAGAGGTAGATTTACATGTAGTTGTAAGAAATAGTACATTACAACTCACTCAGTTTTTTCCAAAGGTAACTTCTTTCATAAGCATAGTATAATGTCACAACCAAAAAAATGACATTGATATTCAGATTCCACCACTTTTATATGCACTCATTTGCATATACATATTTAGTTCTGTGCAGTTTATCACATGTGTAGGTTCCTGAGACCATCACCAATGTTAAGATACAGAAAAGCTCCATCATCAGTATCCCTCACTCTGTTTTATAATCACAACTACCACCCTCCATCTCCTACTCCCTTAACCCTTGGTAACCACCAAGCTGCTCTCTAATTGGATAAATACTGTTTTACAAATGTTATATAGATGGAACCATGCAGTCTATATCCTTTTGAGATTGGCTTTTTTTCACTAAGCATAGATTCCTTGAAGTTCATCCAAAATTATTGCATGACTAATGGACCACAGTTTGTTTAACTAGTCACCCATTAAAGGACATTTGGATAATTTCCAGTTGGTTTTTTTTTTTTTTTTTGCACATGCTTTTTATTTTCAGTGAGTAGATGATCTCTTTTCAGATCTTACCTTTTTGGTGGTTTCAAAAGGACTTAAAAAGTAGTAAATAAAATACAGTACAGATGCTCTTATCTTTCCCAATATCACTCTGATTATTCAATTTACAAGGTATTTCCAGTTTTGAGCTATTGTGAATAAAGCTGCTATGAATATGGTGTACAGTTTTGGTTTGTTTTGTTTTCTTGTTATTGTTTTGTTAATATTCACCCAAGGATATTTTTTTCCATTGATTTTTAGAGAGAGTGGGAGGGAAGTAGGGAGGGAGGGGGAGAGAGAGACAAAGATAAAGAGAAACATCGATGTAAGAGACACATCAACTTGTTGCCTCACACAAGTAAGTACCCTGGCTGGGGATTGAAACTGCAACCCAGGTATGTGCCCTTGCCTGGGAATTGAACCCAAGACCCTTTGACGTGCAGGCCGATGCTCCAACCACTAATCCACACTGACCAGGGCTGTACAGGTTTTTGTTTGAACAGGTCTTCATTTTTCTGGGGTAAAAACCCAAGAGTGAAGCCCTAACCCAGCGGTTCTCAACCTGTGGGTCACAAACAATGAAAATACATCCTGCATATCAGATATTTACATTACGATTCATAACAGTCGCAAAATTACATTTATGAAGTAGCAACGAAAATAATTTTATGGTTAGGGGTCACCACAACATGAGGAACTGTATGAAAGGGTCGCGGCATTAGGAAGGTTGAGAACCAGTGCAACCAGTTTGGCTCAGTGGTTAGAGCATCAGCCTGTGGACTGAAAGGTCCCAGGTTCGATTCTGGTCAAGGGCACGTACCTTGGTTGCGGGCACATCCCCAGTGGGAGGTGTGCAGGAGGCAGCTGATCGATATTTCTCTCTCATTGAAGTTTCTAACTCTCTATCCCTCTCCCTTCCTCTCTGTAAAAAATCAATAAAATATATTTAAAAAAAACACACAAAAAAAAACCAAGAGTGAAATTGCTTGGTCATATCTAGGCATCTGTTATTTTTGTAGGCAACCGACACATCTTTACCCAGAGTAATGTGTGAAAAAGCCAACATCCTCTCTGCGTCCTCTCCCCAGTATTGGTGTTATGCCTATTTCTTTTATTCTAGCCATTTTGGTAGGTGGATAGTGGTATCTAACTGTGGCTTTACTTTGCATTTCCCTAATGGCTAACAATGTTGGACATCTTTTCATGAACTTATTTATTTGCCATCTGTATTACATCTCTGGTGACACAGACATCTGCTATTTTGACTGCTACAAGGTACTTCTCACTGCCTTCTTGATTCTCAGTGGATTGCAAGGTGAAATTATATAGCTTACAGATAAATGATGAGCTACTGTACTTGAGTGTTAACTGTATGCAAGAGAGGGTTCTGGGTATTAGGTGATAAAGCAGTGAAAGATAACAGACAAAAATCTTCGCTTTCATGAAGCTTATATTCTAGTGGAGGAGATGGCTGGTAAATAAAATAAGTCAAATTTATAGTATATTAGATGGTCTTAGTGCTTTAGGAAAAAAACAACAACACAGAAAAGGGAGATTGGCAGTTAACCTTAGTTGTAATTTAAAATAGGATGGTCAGGAAAGGCCACCTTTTCAGAGAGGAGACGTTTGAGTAAAGACCTGAAGTGAGGGGAAGCCTGTGGGTGTCTGGTAGGAGACTGCTCCTGGCCTTGAAGCAGGTGTGTTCTAGGAGCATCAAGGTGGCCGGGATAGCTGAGCAGTGAGGAGGAAGAGAGTGGGGCTGATGAGGTCAAACAGCATCGCAGAGGCTGACCATGAAGGGCCCGGGGCATGGGTAGGACTCGGCTTCTCCTTCAGGGAGATGTGGAGTCTCTGGACAGTGCAGGACAGAAGGGTGGTAAGTTCTGATCTCATTTCAAAAGGGTCATCCTGGCTGCTCTGCTTGGAGGAGAAGGGTGGAATCAGGGAGACGACTGCAATAGTCCAGGCGAGGCATGATGGTGGATTGGATAGGGTGGTGGGTGACAGCGAGGGTCACAAAAAATGAGAAAATTCTGGATATTTTTGATGTAGAGCAGACATAATTTTTTATCAAGCTGCATATGAGGTGAGAGAGGAAGC